ATTAAAGTAGTTGGAATCATCTTACCATAGGCTATTTAACAATTATTAGGCCTTTGAATCCAGAGAACATATTAATTATATCTCCAGAAATGTTTTCCTATGCTAATATATTATGTGCTAGATACCATATCACAAGAAAAATGTGCAATAGTCATGCTTACATCATTTAAAACAAATGTTCACATTTTTTTCCATTTGCTTTATCTATTCATGTCCAACAGCAAGTTTTAGTCTCTTCTGAGATTTATTTTGGTCTACTCTTTCTTTCCTGTTTATAAATGACCTTTTGGTTTCTTCATGCATAGCGACACCCTTGATGTCATTCAATAATTTTGGTCCTTGTTCATTTATGTTCACTGTGTCAAACCTATCTTTCATATGGCTCCTAAATTTAGGTGGGATATATTCAAGGTCCTATTTTGGCTCTAGTGAACCTGCTTTAGCCTTCTTCAGCTTCACCTTGAACTTGGATATGATCAATAGATGATCTGTTCCACAGTCAATTCCTGACCTTGTTTTGACTGGTGATATTGATCTTCTCCTTCCTCTCTTTCCACTGATGTAGTGAATTTGATTATTTTTTCATTCTTTGTGGGCCATGTGTTAACATTTATGTTATTGAAAAAAGTTATTAATAGGTCATCAGTTTTGCAAAATTCTACTATGTGATCCCTAGTATAATAAGTATCACTGGGACTATCCAACTGCTGATTCTTCTTTTGTTTCCATTTTTACATTCCAGTCACCAGCGATTACCTATACATCTTGATTACATGTTTGATCCAGTCAGACTGTGGAAATAGTTTAAAATCTGTAATTTCTTCGTCTTTCATATTAGAGGTTGCCAAGTAAATTTGAATCATAGTCATCTTAGCTGGTCTTTGTAGGTATGGCTATTATTCTATCACTGACAGCACTGTACTTTAAGATGGATCTTGAAATATTCATTTCAATAATGATTGTGATGTGACTTCTTTTTATCATTCAGATCAAAATATATCACATGATTTCCAGATTGAAAAGGATAATACCAGTTCATTTTAGCTCAAGGTTACCTGGACTGATCTATATCTGTTCCATTTCTTCCAATTGATTACTTCCAATTTTCCTGGATTCATGTTTTGTCCATTGTACATTTTTATATTCAATTTATTATTGGAGGTTTGAAAGTGTCTGTTTTCATTTTGAGTTGTGCCACATCAGCAAACAGAAGTCTGGAATGTTCTGCTCCATTCACATCATTTAGGTGACTCCTTTGAGGAGGAAGCTCTCCCAGTAGCATTTTGAGTGTCTTGGAATCGGAGGCACAATATTAGGCAATATTTTGCAGTTATCATAAGGTTTTCCCTGGCCACTTATTCGAGAATTGGATTTCCTGTTCCTCCTTCCTAGTGTTACTTAGTCTGGATGTTCTGCTGAAATTCGTCCACTTTGGGAGACCATACTGGTACTTTAAATAGCTGTGCCATGGTTTCCAGGACCACAGCGATACACAAGGCATCACGGTACAATAAACACACAGATCAAGGGTCGTAGCCACATTAAAGTAGTTGGAATCATCTTACCATAGGCTATTTAACAATTAATAGGCCTTTGAATCCAGAGAACATATTAATTATATCTCCAGAAATGTTTCCTATGCTAATATATTATGTGCTAGATACCATATCACAAGGAAAATGTGCAATACCCATGCTGACTTCATTTCCAACAAATGTTGACATAACACTATTATAACTCCTTTAGAATATCAATAAATAAGTTAATTTTGTATTTAGGCCACATTATGATCACAAGAAAGACTAGACATTATCAGAGTGATGATTTTTTCATAGACATCCCTAATCTTTTACTATCCTTTGGTCAGTCATTCAGTAATGATAATTTAAGCATAAACATATATTTTGTCTTTTATAAGACTCCTTGAACAAAAAATACTTCTAAATTTAGAGTTATTAGATTTAGAAAGATAATCTGACACGTGTAACCTGTAACGTGTAATCTGTTGCTTAGTAACCAAGTATCCCCAAATTTAGTGCCTGAAAACTCACTCCAACTCAATGCCATTGAGTTGATTCTGACTGATAGCAACCCTCTGGGGCTGGGTAGAACTTTCTCTTCAGGTTTTTGAGATTTTAAATCTACAGAGGTAAACAGCCTCATCTTTTCCCCAAGGAGCCTCTAATGTGTTAAAATTTCTAACTATGAGGATTAGCAGCTCATTTGAAGCCCTCTAGGCCACCAGGGGGCCAACTACTGAAACATCCATGGTTTATTAATCTCACAGATCCATGAGTGGGCTGGGCACTTATTTACAGCCTCACTGGGGCTAAAACTCATGAATTTGTATTCAGTTGCGAGAACTAGCAGGGGTTGACCTGTCTCTCCAGGTGGTCTTTTATTCTTGGCTGCATCATAGCCCCCTGGATTCAGGGTCCCATCCTAAGAGAACAGAAATTGGTCCAACCTGGAATGTCTCTTAATATCACTTCCACTGTATTCATATTAGACAAAACACAATTTTTGTCCAAGGCAAACCAAAATTCTTTGCTTAGAAGCCTGAGATAAATAGAAATGTTTTTGTGGATATGCAGAGAAAAATACAGCGTTAATTTGTTTTTTCCTCCAACAGGCGTCTGAAGCATTCCTGAGCTATCCAGGATGGGGAATGGCCACGTGTATCTCATTGATTGTTCTGGCGATCTTCCCTGTTCCCGTGGTGTTCATCATTCGGCGCTGCAATCTCATAGATGAGAGTTCTGGTAATTTGGCATCGGTGACCTATAAGAGAGGAAGGGTTCTGAAAGAACCAGTTAATTTTGAAGGAGATGATGCGAGCCTTATTCACGGAAAGATACCAAGTGAAATGTCATCTCCCAATTTTGGAAAAAATATTTATCGAAAACAGAGTGGATCACCAACTTTAGATACTGCTCCCAACGGACGGTATGGAATAGGGTACTTGATGGCAGATATGCCAGATATGCCAGAATCCGACTTGTAGCTCGGGGGAAATCAGCATTGTTTAGTTCCTTTCTATCACCGAACATTGGCTCTCCTAAGAGAAGTATTAGGCTTCGCTTATCAGCAGACGATCTCAGGTGTTCCATGGCTGTGATCTTGAATCCTAACAGCGTAGGCACATTCAACTAGAGCATTCTTTGGTTTGGATTCTTTGGTTTACATTTCTGCTGAAAGGATCACCAACAGCTGACAATGACTGAGGTCCATGTTTGCCAGGATTTTTTTAAAGTACTTCTGGTGTATTTTCAACTATTTCTATCTGTAAAAATAGGTGTTACCTCAGTTTCTAATAATTTCTGGATTTAAGAGTATGGGCATTTCAAACATGGTATACCTTAAAAATTTATAAGTTTGCCTTCAGGTTAACTCCCAGTATTAAAATGAGCAGTTTTATAAGTTTGTGCCTCTCAGCACATTTTCATGAATATATCCTGTAGATAAGCTGTACTTACTTTGTTACCTTCTTAGGCATTGATACCTTCTTAGGTGGTTAGTGAAGGAATCTACAAAATATTTTCTTATGTAATAGCTGTATAGAGCAATAGTTTCAAAGAGTAAGAAGGCACTTATGCTGGGATGGAAGGCTCGATCCAGAGATGACTAGGGACCATGGGAGCTATGACTGTATATTTTGTGTAAAATATATGTGTGAAAATGATCTAAGAGTAAGTTACTCAGCACTCTCAAGAATTATGCAAATTTTGCATTTTTCTATGCCATGTGCCTAAAAATCTACTTCATATTTATTGTGATGCTGAGATTACTTAGAGTATATTTATATAATATACTTGGCAATGTATATAGATGTATACTAGTACGCTAAGTACTGATTTGAAAATTTGAAGCAAGATGGCATTTATTTATTTCTGTTTTGCTTCTGTTTTATGCAAATATAAATCCTTTTTTTAAAGTGATTGTTAAAATTGTATGGCATTACATTTTAATCTATGAATAAACAAAATTTAAAATTATGGTGTCTTTTAACATTGGTCTTTCTTTTATCATGTGAATAAAATTATCTTTCGTTTCAGTCAGCACTTAGGTATTTCCTAGTAATTAACCATCAAATCACAAGCATGATTAATAGATTGAGTAGTAGATTTACCATCACCTTAAAGAAAACAAGAACACGTGATAGTAGTATGGTTAAATGGTTTTCTAATGTAGTTTCACAATTCTTTTAAAAATACTCAGTCTAAGAAAACCACATGTACAGTTGACTGCTTGCTGGATCCGTTTTACTTGTAATGTCTAAAAACAGTATGAGTACTTTTAAATGAAATTCTTGCATATGTGACATTAGAAAGAAACAGAGTAATTTCATTGAAATTTATCTAGTTTAAAGGCTTTTATTTTAGCGACCCGATACTAGCAGTTACATTTTCAAATAATGATGGATGCAGGAGCAAGGTGTAGAGACTGAAAATTAATGAATGAAAACCCCGTGGATCACAATGGAATGGAGTCTGAGATGCATTGAAAATGAGTCCCGATGTTGGAAAGCACTTCCATTGAACAGTGGTGGCAGCAATGGACTCGGACACAGCAATAATGGTGCAGCGGCACAGGACTGGGCTATGTTCTGCTCAGTTGTCTATGAAGTTGCCCTGAGTCAGCACCTACTCCAGGGAAACTGACAATAAAATATACTCAGCTTATACTCAGCACTGACCAAATATTCTTGCTCTAGTATAAATATATGTGAACACACTGCATCTCAGCATCGTAAATATAATTTTACTGCTGACTTAAAGTGTGAATTTTTCAATTTTATACCCACTAAAATTTTCATTTGTTTTATTAATTTGAAATATATGAATATTATACTAAACTGAAAAATTACAGCGTCATCAGTTCCCATCCTTAAAAGCAAACAATGTTACAAATTTCTTATATGTCTTTCTGGCGATGCTCTATGTATAATTTTTATGACAACATTCTGTATTCTTTCTCTTTTGTAGCTTCAATAAATGACATCTTGGGCTGTGTTTCATATGAAGACACTGAGTTATGTGTCTATTGCCTGACTAATCAATTGAAGTAAGATATATAAACAAAATATTGGTGATCTGTACTTTGAAAAGCAATTCCCAATATCATGAAGTTTGTAATCTTGTCAGTCTTAAACTTACCGTGATGATGCATCTCCAAATAGCACCATCCCTCTTTTCTTCCTCACTATTACCTAAAGCTTTAATATATGTGTTCCATTTGGGAAAAGGTCTCCACCTGTCTAGTTACAGAGTAATATGAAAAAAGCATGAATCATATGTTTGAGATGGAAGAAACTTCAAACGTCTTCTAATACCTTTATTTGGTAGATGAGGAAATTAAGGGGTAGGAGTAAAAGGAACAAGATTTCTCCTTTTTGCTTCTTTCAATGTGTCAAGAGTTTCATTCCTTCATTGATTCACCCTTTCCTCCAGCATAGTCTTCATTCTTAGCACTACACCCAACCTTATTCTTAGCACTACACCCAACCTTATTCTTAGCACTACACCTAACCTTATTCTTAGTACTACACCTAACCTTATTCTTAGCACCACACCTAACCTTATTCTTAGTACCACACCCAACCTTATTCTTAACACTACACCCAACCTTATTCTTAGCACTACACCCAACCTTATTCTTAGTACCACACCTAACCTTATTCTTAGCACTACACCTAACCTTATTCTTAGCACTACACCTAATCTTATTCTTAGCACTACCCCTAACCTTATTCTTAGTACTACACCTAACCTTATTCTTAGCACTAAGCTAGCTAAAGCACAATTGTAGGTAATAATAGCTGTTCAGCTTTTCTCCATTGTTTCCCTTTTGGTAGTGAGATCATTTTATGCATTGAATTGTGTCATTCTTACAAAAATATTATAAATCCTAACTCCAGTAGCTATGGTTATAATCCCATTTCAGAAAAGATGTTATTGCTATGTTAATGAGACAGTATTAATGTTTGAGGAATCTTAAGGCAATCTCTTGAGGTATCAAAAAACACAGTTGGGGAAAGTAGATGGTACATGAAGTTCACCAAGGAGTCAAGGAAGGCTGAGGTTAGAGATGCTAAAATGAGGTAGAGATCTTGCCCTCGAGTCAACAGAACGAAAGCCTTTCCCAGAATGGAGATCCTGAATTGGGATTTGTAGCATTCCAAACTAGGAACCCTGATGGTGCCGTAGTTTAGTGCTTTGCTGCCAACCAAAAGGTTGATTATTTGAACCACTTCCCCACCCACACTCAATTAGAAAAATGTGGAAGTCTGCTTTTATAAAGTTTGCAGCCTTGACCACCCTATGGGACAATCTTATCCCATTCCTATAAGGTTGCTATGCATTGTAGTAAACTTGACAACAATGGTCTTTTGTCTCCTAAATTGTGAGGAAATAAATTTGTTATTTGTTAAGGCCATCCATTTGTGCTATTTCTGTTATAACAGCATTATGTAATTTTAGTAACTAGGTATCTAAGATCTCTTACCTGTTCTTTAAACAATGTAGTATTTAATCAATAAGTAATAGCATGAAGTGTCAATCTCTATTCTTTAATGTATGAGGTGATTTAAATTTGATTACTTTTCACATATTCTGTCATCTCTGCCCTAAACTTGAACATAGATGTGACATATCTAAGTATTGTCTATCTTCAAGTGTATTTTCAAGTGGCAGAGAGGCTGGGTGAGAGATGTCACAGCAATACCTGTAGAATGTTTAGAATAGAAAGGATGAAGGAGAAAATGGGCACATTGTTAAACATTGGAATCATAATGAAAGAGTTACTTATCTTGGTTCTGTGAGGTCTTTGGTACCACGGATGATTTCCCAGCCCAACAATATCATGCACTAAGATAGATAGTATTTATGAATAAGTGAAGGACATGCATTAAGGTGAAGTTAAAGAAAATTAAAAGTTCATATGAGTGAAAGTACAACCTTGACTATATCCCACTTGAATTTATAGAACATTTCACGAATTGATTTGACACATTGAACATGAATGAATGAAGAGCAGATGAGTTGTGGGACTACAAAAAGGGATTGTGCTTGAAGAAAGCAGAAGACCATTAGAAAGACAGAAAAGGAAGCGAGCAAAACAAACATCAGCTGCATCTCTGAAGCATACACTGGAACGTAGGTTAGCTGGAACAAATGGGAGAACCGATCACGTTAGAAAACTGAGCACAAGATTTCCGAGAGCAACTCAAGAAGATAAAATATAATGAAACATGTCAAAACCTGTATTTAGAAGATCAAAAGGGAACAATATACTCATTATTTTTCAAACTGAATAAATTGGGTGAAAAAACAATCCTTGATTTGCAATATTTAAGGATTATGTGGACAAACTATTGAAGAACTAATAAGCAGCACAGGAAGATGGAAGGAATACAGAGTTGCTGAAGAAGTAGTTGACATTGCCATTTCAGAAGGTAGCATATGATCAAGAACTGATGTTATTCAAAGAGGTTCATACTGTGCTGAAGACATTGGCAAAAAGCAAGATACCAGGAATGGATGGAACATCAATTGACAGATGCCACCAAATGCATGCAACTCTGGAGGTGTTGACGTGCTATGCCAAGAAATTTCACTAACCCTCTGGAACAGATCTGTATTTTTGCCCCATCCAAATAAAAGGGCTCCAACAGAATATCAGAGTTAGCAAACAATACTACTGTTACACTGAAGTAAAATTATGCTGAGAATAAAAAACGATCACAGCAGTACATCAACAGGGGAACGCCATAAAGGCCAGCCAGGTTCAGAAGAGGAGGCGAGAACAGGGAGGCATCATTGCACAACAGATCTTGCCTGATAGCAGCGAATTACAGAAAGATAAGTGGTTTGTGGTTTTTCTTTAACCTATGCAAAGGCATTCAAAGCTGTGGATCATAATAAATTATTGATAATATGCTAAGAATTGAAATTCTAGAATGCTTAATTTTTCCCACAGAGAACTGCGAGACTGCTGTATAAAAAGTTTAAAATCAAGAAATGTATGTATCGATACTTTCTATGCTTTCACCAGGCACATTCAGGCTGTATGTTGAAAAATTAATTTGAGAAACATCGTTCTATGAAGAAGAATTCAGCATAAGGATTGGAGGCAGACTTATGAACAATCCGAGACATGTAAAGATGACACAACTTTGCTTGCTGAATGTTAAGAAACTTGAAGCACTTACTGATGAAGGTTATTGATGTTTTCAATATGTATTACATCTCAATATGAAAACCAAAGTGCTCACAACTGAACCACAGACACGATAAGTAATAAAATGTCAAATATTTCATTTCACTTCGATTCACAATAAACCCTAATGGAAACAGTAGGCAAGAAATCACATGACGTTTGGTAAAATGTTAGAAACAAAGATATCCCTTTGAGGACTGAGGTGCAACTGACTCAAGTCCTGGTATTTTCAGTCCCACGTACTCATGAAAAAGCTGGACAATGAATATGGCACACTGAAATCCACTTGATTCACGGTGCAGTGAAGAATATTGAATATACCAGGGGCCACCATAACGATGGGCAAATCCGCCTTCAAAGAGAAACAGAATGCTTCTTGTTTCTTAATCACACAGACTTTGGACATTCATCAGGTGGGATGTGCTCCTGGGAAAAACAGACCATGCTTGTGTGAGATGCCAGCTCTCCCAAATCTAACCAAGGTCGCAATTGAGAAATAAGCAAATAAAAGATGAGAGAGAAAGTCTCTCAAAGATGAGAGACACCAAGGTCCAAGTCTTTCTTTGAGGCAGTCTTTGATACAGGACTTGTCACGAACCCTGCTCCTGTGAGAAGTTCTCACACGAAGGGCTTGTGGACAATTATCTGAAATATACCAGGAAGCAGTAGCCTTTTAATCTATTTGTCTATGGTCCAGAGGGGAAGATACGGCAGGCACAGGGAGTAGCTGGTG